TCTATAGGATCCAAAATACTTGGATCAGGCGTATCCGGCGGAGCGGCACAAATATTCCCCGTCGTCTGCTGCTCGCTTATCCTTGGCAACTGGTCACAGCTTAACGTTATGGGCCATTTGAAACCGTATTGCTGCATCAGTGGACTACACCGCTTCTTCGCTTCTAGACAAACCTGGGACAAGTTATCATTCTGATAAATTCAGGCTACATATCATTCATGTTTGGCGCAAACTGATCTCTACTAGATGAAATTTAGAACAAACTATAAATAATAATTTACTTCAACCAGAAAATAAATATGCAGGTTTGTGAAATTAGTAATACTTAATTACTTTACATTTTAATTTGTTAAGCTCAACTGCTAACACGTTCAGCTTCTTATCTGTTGGAATGATACGATTACGACAAATAAATTTCGAAGTGTGTCCCTCTAGACGGAACAGGGAATAAAAAAAAACGAGAGTCTTCCTTTAATCAAGTCACAAGTAATTCTTGTCAAAGAATTGTTTGAAAAAAAGAAAGAAGCTTACTTCCATGCAAGGCATCACCATTTTTTCGTAATTATCTTGGCATATCGGTGTGTACATTGCACAGAGAAAAAATTTGAGATGTTTATAGCAACCAACCTGTAAAGACTTTCCAACTCTATTTCCCGTTTCTCCTTAATTGAAATTTTAATCTTTGAAATTTTCTTGATGAAATGTCTGAAAATTTGTCACCAACTACATGACCTGTTGTTGGTATATAGTTTAACAAAGATATGAATATTCTCAATGACAAGGTATCTAATGCAATGGTTTTCTGTGGATGATGTGCTCTTATAAAATTGTAATTCGAAGTGGTTAAAAATAAAATAGAAATAGTTTACCTCGACGAGAGGATAAAATTGATGTACTTCGAGTCCCGCTTCTTCCTGTTTCTCATGGCCATAACTGTTCGGATACCTAGTCATATTGTAGCCAATGCCTGCATATTTATTTTCAATAAGGAAATAACTTGCAAAGTATTGTAGAGCCAATTTACATTGAGATTTGATATTGGTGTAAAACAAAATCCACAGAAAAATTTAGAGTAAAGAATCGTTTGTTAAAAACTTCTTGGTTTGATTAAAATTAAACCGAATAGTCCATAAATCTGAATTTCATATTAATTGCAAATTACCTTTGCAGAGAGGTATGGTAATGGTTTCGCATCTTTGTGTCCCTCCAACTATTTGAAGTTGAATTGATAATGACAATATTATAAATATTGCCATATAATGATATATTTTCATCATTTTTAAGAAGCACTCAGCGTGGAATTTCGAAAAATGATAGCAGTTCGTTATTTGGTGCAATTTCTGCCTTTCATCATCTGTTCATATCATTGTACAGCAGTGGTATTGTAATGGCGGTAGTAGTAGCAGTGGAAGGTTAGCTTCTCGAAATCGTCCTATAAATCGTTAAAGGAAAAAAAAAACAACGGATAAAAAGGTATGAGCTAATCAATGAAGTGAGTTCACTTCTGACCACTTTTTAGGAACAATATTAAATTACAAGATGAAAATTTAATCAAAGAGATAATGGTGGACAGCAGCAGGTAAAGAAATTTCAACTTTCTTAAAATCGATTTTCGTATCAGGGAATTCCCGAAACGAAACACGAGTAGAATTAGGGTCGGAAAAGAATGGGATGGACAGGAGAAATGGACTGACTTCAACAACCTAAAAAAAAGTGAAGGAGCAAAAACTGTGAAGGATACCAACCATTAACAGTATTGTTTTCTGTCCCATTGCTACCGTCTTGAAAAGTTTAGTTATAAACTTACTTAAACAGCTGGAAGATGTTAAAAATTTTATACGATTTATTGAATAAGGTGAAAAAGGAAAAAAGCAGGGAGGAATTAAAAGTGAGTGTGGTTGTAAAACGATGACGTACATACCTTGGATTATCAAGCTTTCCCGGGTAAACTGAAGGACATCTGTGACACATGCAACATAATACATAAGTATTTTAAAGATATTAAAACGAAAATTATTGGAAGCTATGTCTATTTGATAAAGAACTCCTCACAGACTCATTGAAATTCAATGATGTTGGAAAAATTGTCCAGATACATGATGAATTTCAGCAAGTTGGTGAATTTTAATTTTATATAAGATTTGGCGACAAAGTGTTTCGTATAATTCTGACGAATTTCTCTGTCAACAACAATGTTGTCAGTTCTGATTTGTTAAAATGCAGAAATGATTATTTCGAGAACAGTGAAATGAAGACATCAGGAATGTTTAATCTTTGCCTTTCAATTTCCAAGATTTGAAAAAGGTACTTTAAAAATCAAAAATGATTAAAGAATCGTTTTGAACTTTCCCGTTGTATTTTATCTCATTGATGACAATAAGCTAGACGAAAAACTATTTTTTGACAAGTAAGTTCGGCATTAATAATTTCTTGAATTATCATTTTTGAATGATGTCACCGAATAGTGAACCTCACTTCTTTTACTTCCATCAAATTTTATGAATTTCAAACACATAACTGGAGCTTTAAATAGTTTAAATTGCATGATTTGTGGAGTAATTCGTTATTTAAATTAAAAAAAAAATGGAGCGAAATCAGCTGAAATGAGAAAATGACGAGAGGAAGAAGAGAATTAAGTGCGTTGGACTAAAGTAATGCTCCTCCGATGATGGAAAAGCGTTTTGTGTTTACATAAGGAAGATAGAAGCGACCTACTGCGCACCAGAAATTTTACCGAGGAAGAAATTCATGTCAAATTCCCGGCTGTTGAAGCGTGAACATTCTATTTTTTAAAGAAAACTAGAAAAAGGAGAGGGGATTGTGTGCATTACTAAAATTTTATCTTTTTTACTGTAAATTTTAAGTGATAAAATGAAACCAGATCCCTCTTCTCTCCCTCCGACAGGTAAGCAATGTGCTTGGCGTTAAATGATGAAGTAACATTTTGAATGACACAGATGCATTTACGCAAAGCTTCAAATCCTCAGCAGAACATAAGGCTCAAATTACTTATTTCTGCAAACAAAGTCTATAAATCCAACAAAAACAGCAGCAATTAGACTTGGCGGGGAAGGAAATGACTACAACATTGGCTCTTTCCAGAATTAGAAGAATGTCGTCATTACATGTTCATCCATTGTTTTGCTTGACCTTTGAACAGCATGTGATCATAATCATGCAAAGAAGCAACTGGAACTGACTGACCGAAACTGTTGTTGTGAAGTTTGATAAAGAAATAGAGGAAGGAAGTTCCCCTTTATTTTTTCTCTTCTTAAAATACCTACTTATATTTTCCGGATTTCCGAAAAAAAGTTCACAGCAGGTTCTCATCTCCTCTCTTAAGAATTCATTCAAATGTCAATCCATTCTTAATGTCAATGCCAGAAGAAAATTTCAGTCACTTCTTTTGGTAATAAAGGAACTTTGAACTTCTAGAAAATTTGTTGATAACAACAGGATAAAATGGTAAGATTTTTGAAGCATTAAAAGATGGAAGATAGAACAATTAAGCATTCACTATCATGATGATAATAGGTTTAGCTAGTTCCTAATGTAAATAATCCGTGCATACACTGATCTATAATCTAATGTTTATTAGGAACTTAAGTACTCAACAGATAATCTAAAAAAAGTGAAACTAAAGTTCCAAAAATAGCAGGAAACATATAAAGTTCTGAAGGAAACTTACTTCGTTCTACAAAAAGACAATTTATTAGCTAATTACAGAAAGCATTTTGTTGAAAAATCTATGTAAGTAAATAAGAGCCAAATGAATTCAATTAATTAAATAAAAGATCCTTAGGATTGTGCGATCATCAATAGGACTGTCATGCAGTGTTATGTGAGTTGGTGAAAATGACACATGTTCTTGTGAAGATTAGTCGTATCTTCTTAGCTTAAGTCTGGAAAATGTCGCACATCTAAATGCATTCATGCTGATCTGAATGAAAACATTTATTTCTGCTCCGCTTATCCTTTCTCCATGCATAAGCAACAATTCATTACTGTCTGACATTGCGATATTTAACTTAATTCACTTAATTTAGTGTATTTTTCAGTTAGTGAATGACGCAGATGTCGCAATTTTAGTACGACGAAAGAAGGATGAAGATATTGAAAAAGAAATTAACTCCCGCTAGAAGTTCAATCAAAAAAACTTCAAATTCTTCAACTCCGTTCCGCCTAGACTTATGGTATTTGATTAATTTAAGCGTTGTAAGTCTCGAAAGATTTCGTAAGGCTTAAATTAAAATTATTACCGAACAAAAATTAATGCAAAATAAAAGGATGAAAAGAAGGAGTTAATGATGTAAGTTCAAAGTAAGTTCAAAATGAATAAAAAATTTGAGAAAGAAAAGAATGAGAAATAGTTTACTTAGGCTTAGCAAAAGAGATGAAAGGGAAGAAAGAAAGAAAAGCTGATTATAATGATAATAATGCATGCATTATGTGCCTTTTTTAGGTTCGACAGTGAAAAATAAACTTCACATATACCTATCCATATTGACATACACTGATAAACAACTGAAAATACTTTCAGTGATAGAAAAATTAGCTTATGATTGGATTTAAGTAGATACTCTTAGATGGATGAACCTTACAAATGATAACCATTATTTTATCATTATCTATTGCTAATGATCATCTGTCACAATGAGCAGGATCGTTACGGAATTCTGCACCATTAAAAGCAAGGATCCAAGACTTTCCACGCTCCTTCCATCTCCGAACATTTATTGGATTTCTGGCTTAGTTCCCCATAAAACAACTTGTCATTACACAAATCTTTCGCGACAAAAAGTTTAAAAATTCAAAAGTTTGGAAAAATTGTTTTTTCTTTTCCTTCTTCGGTATTCTAAAATTGTTGCGACGAATAGAGAAATGAAGAGAATAATAATAGCAAAAGGAGCTCAGATCTTCAGGTAATTAGTAGATGATTATGTCTGGAGAAAGGTCAAGGAGGAAGAAGGGTTGAGGAAAGAGAAAATGAGGCGGGGAGAATGAGCTTAAAGGTTCGAACACGAAACATGTATTTAAGTAAGCAAGAGGTAGATGGTCAGCCCCGGATATCGAGGGAGGCGAGATATTTGAGAGGTAAAAGAGAGGGAAAGATCGGCTCAGAAGATGGCGTGGGTAAGGAAGCAGTTGTTGTTGTGAGGGGATAAGCACAGAAAGTGGGCAGAAGAGATGAATGGACGATCAGGTAAGTGTCCATCACAAATAACATCCTCTATGTAAACCATGTCAACTATAACTGAAATTAACTGGTACTATACGTTCTCTAAATGTTCTCATTTTGAGAACTATACGTTCTCAACTACACGTTCTCTAAATGACTATGTCGCAGAATACAGTTTATTTCATTTCAACAAAGGGCGCTTAAAAGCCAAAAGTTTTTAATAGTTCCTTCTTTAATTAGTTTTTTCTTTGAAATTTAATTCGAAAAATTGAAAGAAAAGTGCTTAAAGTTTATTTTGATGCAAACAGCTGAATCGTTAATTTTATGATTATGGTACTTCAAAAAAGTGGTCAGCACGGTTGTTGATAGTTTATGATACTTTAAGAACTTCGAAAACAGAATGACGACAATCATTTGTCATTGAATGATAAAGTTCCATTTCACTATGCTCATATGTCAAAATTGTCCTTTTAGCAGGAGTTTCTAGCTAAATTATACTTTTTTTTTCAACACATTTATCATTTATCTTATATAAAAGAAGTTATTTCGCATTTCTTTTTTCTAGATTTACTGCTTAAAAAAGCATCTTTGACAAGAAATTTTTTGTTTTAAATTAACTGGCGCGCACTATTCTAATTTGAACAGTACGATGACACTCTTACATCAATTGATAATGAAATCTTAACGTTTCTTTTTTAAATGATTTAATGTAACTGAAAATTTTGATGTGGTTTTCGAATGCATCTCGATTTTCCTTCACTTGTTCTTCAATCCATTCGAGAATAGACGGGAATTTCAGTTAGAAACAGTAATTCTTTAAAAATATTTTTAATTGCGTTATATTTGTTCGACAATATGTCAACGATCAATTGAATATGTACTATTTACCTAACTGAATTTCAATGAAGTAAATAAAAAGGCTATGAACTCTGATTTTTCGTGGTGATATAATTTCTTCTATAAATAATTACTTGTATAAGTTAAAAATGCACTTCAGAGCTTATTACCTCACTAGATGTGACTATTCAGCAGAAAAAATTTCTTCTGGTTAACAAAAAGAAATTACAGACTCCATTTCATTAAGATTGACCAAATGAATGTAAATACTATACATTTAATGATAATTTGGGAAGGTCATTAATTAGTTCCAATAGCATATTGGTAAATATTTCATAAAAAATTGTAATATTTTGATATTACACCAATTCATATTTCAATGAGGAAAAGAAATTTGAAGTAAATCTCAATTTCAAATGAAATGCATCGATCCTAGGCTAAGAAGGGAGAAGAAACTTAAATTCTTTCCATTCAACACTTATGCTCCTTGAAGGAACCTGAAAATCTATCCAATCTCGAGATTCTTGAAAAAGCATAGGTTTCCGAATTTACTGAAAGTGACTGCATTTATGGCCTGTGAAATAATCACTCGGGATAAGCTGAAACAACTCATCCTATCTCCACAATATCTTCAACTTGATTATTATATGAATATCTGTTAATTACGAGATAACCTTACATTTGCCCTAAATTTCCCAATAATTAATCCCGAACCATTCCTATAAAATTATGAAACTATTGAAAAGAAGGCGCTGATGAACGAGAAATGAGGCGGAGAAGGAGCAAGGAGAGGTAGCTGTGTCGCTATGAAGGAGTGTATTATAGACATTATTTTGAAAGCAGATATAATTGTGTATTGGCTGTCGCTCAACTTGTCACCCCCTATTTCTTACGGTCTGTTAAACAGCGGATATTCTCAAAACCTGCTGCCATCAGACTTCTTTCTATCAACTCCAACGATAATCATAATAGGAAGTTGGTGCAATTGTGCTGCATTTTTTAGTGCTGTCTTCGGCGCTAAATGTTTTTCTACAAATCGCTATGTAATAAAATGCTAAGTGATGTTTCTGTTCTTCCCCTATCCTAAACTCAAATGAGTTCAAAGTATTCGTTCAAGAATTAACTCTAATTTCTCCAAAAATTTTTCCAACTACTGCGGGAGTCCCACTCTTACTTTGTAAAACATCCACTTAGATGACAGCTACAACATTGAGATTTAGAATTTACTGGATTCCTGTCATAACCAAATTCATTTAGATTATTTGCTTGCCTGAAAAGTATTTTTGTGCTTTGAGAAGTGCAACAACTGAGAAAGCGCAAATGTATCATTATTGACAGATAGATACAGCGTGGGACACTTAATATAAACAACCACTGATAAACAAAACAAATACCCTTAATTTTTTTTCCAAAGTTGATTTCTTAATACAAATTTTATTTGCCATCATAGTTTAAATAAAAGAAAAAAAACACTTGGCATTGTTGCCGGCTATAAATAAAACTCATTAAAACATGAAATTATACGTAGCTCTTCAGCTGCCATTAAGTTGTGACTTATGAAAGCTGAGGGATCGCCAATTGCCACCGTGGAACTGATCAAGGCAGTGATAAGATAGACTGAATCAAACATTAAGGTAGTGATAAGATAGACTAAATCAAGCAAATAATAGAAATCCGTCTTATAATTAACTATTTGGAATGCAAATAAAAAGTCATGAAGGATGAAATTTCCATACTGTTGATGAAAGATAAAACTTCGAATGTTCTTGAGGAAAAATTGAATTTTCATGAAGTTTTTTTCGCTTGAGTTATAAATAAGCTTTTGACACAGCAAGAGAAGGAATTATTGATCGCATTGACAAGGGGCGGCATATGTTTTGATCTTTTGATGGAGAATTTCAAAATTCGAACCTTAACTCAACCTTCTGAAATTTGTAATCTTCGAGTTGTTTTCAATTATAACTTTTACTAGTGATTTCATCTTCTGCAAATGCTATTTATTCATTATCCAGACACGAAATTTTTTTTTGAAGCAAACCCTAAGATAAAATAATAAGTTAACTGGCAATTACTTTCAGCTGTAACAAATTATTGTTAATTATCAGTGTTAATTACTAATTCCCTCAAGTTCACTAATTTCTATTGGAACCATTTGATTAATAGTAACATAATTAAAGTGTCGACCAATCACACCAGAACTGGACAACTGATCTAACTTATCATAAGGAATGCTACAAACAACCGAATTCATCCAAAGCTTTCTATCACTGTTAAGTGCTAAGCTTAAGGTTTTACAATCAGCAGTGTTATCAATAGAAAATGACAAGAGGAATTTTTTTGAAGAGTAGAAAGTGAATGAAATTAGGATGAACGGAGTAGCTGACCCCATTGTGCTCAAATTCAACAAAAACAAATTTCCGCCTTGTATATAATGTCTTCTCAATCCAGCAAACCCAATGTCTGTACGTGAGGAAGGCTTTATTAAAATGCTATAGACAATTTCTATTGCAATAATAACTTTGGTCAATTCCATAACTAGCATGATCAGATTCATTTCAAATATCGTCTTTAAATCTGAATTCTAAAGAAGCAAAACTATATAGCTAAATCCTAAGCACTATTATCTTGCCGCATTTTAAGCAAAATTTCTGTATTAACAACAAGCTTGTTGCTAATGCAAAATCCATCCTTTTGATATCAGCGGAAAAGAATAGATGATCTTCAGCGCTTCTTTATTAGGCAATTAGTCATTTCCAATTGAAAATGATTAAGGCTAGTACTTCATTTTTGTATACGAAATCAACAACAATAAAGTACTTTACATTAACAGCACTCATTTTACTTTTTAATGTCAACAAAGTCTGATGCAATCTAATTTGAAGTGCCAAAATACCTTAAGTAAACTGCATGGTTGAACTACCACAAATATGTATATTTCGATAGTTTGTTTGGATTCGAATCATTCAACAAGTATATTATATTTGCATATATACTTGAGCTGATGTGTAAATTTTGGAATGGATTGTTAAGTAAACAATTCTTATTCCAAAACGGAAATACTCCTTCTTCCGGACCGATAAAGGATGAGATGAAAATGGATCAAAATGATTTTTTGCTTTCTTTTTAATTTTAATCATTTTTCATTTCAACTGGAAATTCAACAAAATTTTTTTACAGAAACTGAAATTAACTCAAATCGAATGTAAGCCAGAACTTATTGTATTTGTATTTCTGATGCTTACTATCAGCAGAAAAACGGGAAAAAGTGAGAAGTGATGAAAAATAGTACATTCCAGAATAATTCGCGAAATACCCAAATCAGCCACTTTCATTGGCACAATAATGAATTCAAGGAAGCAGAAGATGAAAGATGGCGCTGATGACTAAATTAATTAGAAGGATGAACAACTTCCTTCTTTAGTTTAACCTTAATGGAAGGTAATTGCAACTTTGTTAATGGAAATGTTGGCGCTACATTCAACTGACTTCCTGACTATGCAACATTTCTAAGCTTTGATGATGTCGGCTTTTGTTTGAAGTAAGAGGAGATAAAAAAGATGCAACATCAGGGAAAAAGAGCTGGAAGCAAATTGCCCGCAAAGAAAGGAGGAAGAATGATTACATTTTACTTCTCCGAGGTCAAAGATCTCGATCCCGAACGAAACAACTCTTCGAAAATACTCATATTTTTAAATACACTATAAAATGTCAAAATAAATTTTCCAAAAAAAAATCAGTACCATAAAATGTCACGATAATTAGCGACTTGTAAAATGCCATCCTTCATCATTTGACAAATGACGAAATGGACGCTTTGAAGTTTGATGACAATTGCCTGTCACCAATAATAAATTATGAAAATTGAACATTTAATGTTCGAAGAAGGCAAGTAATGGAATAAAAAAAGAGTGAAAGTAAAAACACAAAAATTTTGCATATTTCTAGTATTACGTAAATCGCTTTAATTTTAGTTTAACTTTCTTTTCTATTTTATTCCATTTTAATCCCAACGAATTGATTCAGTAGTATGAATAAGTGACAAATGAGATTGAATCTCGAGAGAAGTAGCAATCATGGATTTATGGTAGAATAGTGGTGGCCAAAACACAAATTAAATTATATTATTAGAGCATTGTAGGCTTGCGAGAGAACGAAACGTCCTGATACAATGCATTTATGTCGTTAGTCCACTGATTCACAAATAAATTATGAAGGTAACTGACAACTGAGTCATTGTTAAAAAGCATTTCGAAAATTTTTTATAGGCAAGAGGGAGATACTTGATATTTATTAACTGGAATTTAATTCGAATAATGCAAATAGTGTGAATAGTGTGTGGTAAGTATCGGGTATCGTCGACTTTAATTAGTTGGAAAGGAAGTCCCATCATGTCATCTTCGACTTCTCTCTCTCTCTCTCGCTTTGAAATTTAATTCAGGCGAGTGATATTTAATTGAATGCATCAAAGTGAACAATAAGTTACAATTATTTCTTATAAACATACGTCTGAAATTTTGAATTTTGAAATTCATTTTGAATATTTCGAATAAATGTGCAGAATATAAACAACTAATAACTGAGCTGTGGAAAAAATCTTTCATATAAATATTTAAAAATTCGTGACAATATCTAAATGGAACAAAAAATGATGGAGACAAAGTAATAGTAATGAATGAGGAATAATAAGTATCCTGCAAGGAAAGGTGCTAATACATGATGTGGACAATGGTGTGTGAATAAGTAGCCAAGAGGGAGATTAGTGAATGAGGGACACTGCCTGAATTTTTCATGCAACTGAGTTGTTAAATATCCAGGAAGTCGGGTCAGTCCGAGGAGTCATTTCGAGGTTTCTGGTTCTATTAATGCCAAGTGCAGATGAGAACTAAATGGAGTAAAAATTCCTTACTATTTTAACGATGTTACTGTATCTCACGCCTGTGAAGGACACAACTGATACTACTGAAACGCATATCTCGTTGCAGCTGACCCTTCATATCAAAAGGTCAAATAGAGAAAGAATTGCATTTCCATGTAAGTAAAATAGAAGACAGCTTGGGTCAATCAGCAATTTGCATGCAGTTAGCGAGTACAGCTCAGTGTGTTGAACGATATCCTCCAATAATTAGACCCTTCCTGTTTCTATCGTTAATGAGACATGTGACAGGACGAATGAATAAAGTGGACCAAAACTGACACAAATCATTCTAGCAATAATCGATTCTCATTTCTCTTGCACGCACGCGAAGTGCGTGACACGTTGACACGTAACTTAATGATGCCCACTCAATCTCCTGGCACATTTATCACATTGAAGGAATAAAATCATTAAAGATTAAGCTTTCAAATATTATTTGGTAGTTATAGCAAGCTATTATTATTATATTAATGGCTATAACCTCTATCCTCATCATCTCATCCATTTGGTGTAAAGTAAACACTTTCCTCATCTTTTCCTTCCTGCGTCCATTGATAGCACTGTAATCAGTGAAACTTCCAACACTTTCTTTTTCTCTTTGTAAAAATATGAAAATAGCGGCAATAACACTTGCATATGTAAATAATATCAGTAATAATAACAATGATGATGATGATGATGAAACAATAGCAGCTATAATAAAAAATGATGACGATGATAATTAATAAT